CACCGCACATGACTTTCACGAGTTTCTCTGCGGATTTGGGCTCCTCTCAGCGAGCGCACTCCAACCCCATCTTCAAAAAAAAATAAAAAAAATTCCTGGGATGTTTTTTGGCTCGTCTGGTTTTGCCGGACGGACCCCCCCCAGTCCGTCTGGGCCGGTCCGTCTGGCCCGGTCCGTCTGGGCCGGACGTCGACTTAACCCAGAAAAAAAGATGTGGTGGAGCCCGGTTACAATGGAAAGACGGCTACATATCACTTCAGGGAGAACAGGCAAGGTCCCAGCAATGAATCTGTGAGACCAAGCTCAGGCGGGGAGTTGAAGAGTTGCGGAAGTTCGGACAACGGTTTCCGGATGAGGGCTCAGGGTTTAGGGTTTTAGTCACCTTTGAAAAAAAAAATAAAAAAAAATGGGGGGAAGGTAAGGTGGGACAGAGGGTTTCGTGGCTCACGGGCAGGACGGGTAAGTGGGGATACAAAGGCTAGCTTGGACAATGGGTGAGCTCTTTCTAGGTGGCAAGGATCTATCTGGCAGATCTGGTTATCAGATCTGAGAGGAATAGAGTCGGGCACGGCAAGCTGATAGTCAATCCTCCACCAAGGTGGAGCAATCAATGCTGATCAGGGGTCCTTCGGCCAGACGGAAGGAAGAGTGGGTGGTTCTTATTGTAATGTCTATTCTGACTTGCCGGTGGAATAGGAACCGGACTGTTGCTCCCCAGAATGGAAAGGAGCCAGGACCATAAGGCCCTGTTATTGAAAAAAAAAGAAAAAAAAGAAAAAGCTTTTATTTACTAGTTGTGCCAAAATATAATTGAGAAACCAGGGTGTGGTGAATGATACTTATGAGCTCGAATTCCAGAACACTGCATTGGTTTAAGGGTTGTTCAATTTCCATGAAATGGGTTTTGCAGCGTCTTCTGTAGTCGCCGGAACCAGAGAGATGAGACTGTGTACAAGTGCAGAGACACGAGAATTGGAGGGAGGAAAAGACCTGGAACAAGTAGTCCAAAGGGATGATGTCTCATTGTGATCTTGTAGTGACAATCTTGTTAAGCCTTATTTTGGAAGGATGACAGCTTGGCTTAAACTTAAAAGTTTAAAGTGAGGTGATATGGGCAACTGGTCGGTCTGGCAGAAGGTGCTGGTTCTGGGACATGGCAGAAGTTTTCCATTTCGGGGTGATGGAAAGTCAATCGCCTCCCTCCCTCAGACAGCACAGATGCTGCCAATAGTTTACAGGACTGTAACTGTGGGAAGCTTTGGAGGTAGAATTTTTATGACAGGTATGTTGTCTTGTATTGATTTTGACTTGCTGCCAGTTGCTGGTGGAAAAGGAACCGGATTGACGCTCCCCGCAATAGAACAGAGCCAAGATCATAACGTCCTTCTCTCTCTTTTTTTGCAAGTCTGTGGAGAGGTATTTTCATAACAGCTAAATGAAGAGGATGTTGACGCAGTTTCATCGCCTGTTGTTTGGGATGGGTGATGCCTTGGAATGTGGATGATGATTGGATTTTGCACGGACTCAGCGGGTGCTGGAACTTGAAGCCACCATAAGGGAGAAGGATAAACAGTTGGAAAAGGAGAAGGAGCGTGTACGCCATTACAAATCTCTTGCCAATTCACTCAAGATGCAACTTGAGCGAACCTTGCGGCTGCAATGGCGCGGCCCACTCAAGCAACAAGTCAGTCGCTCTCCTCTCACCTTGTGCCCCTTGCCCCACTGTCATCATCATCATACTTGTGAACCAGAGGTTTCCCGTCTTGGAAGCCAATTGTGTAC